TGAGTTGAACGAGTGACTGAATTAATACAAATGAAAAAAAGTGCTAGGCCCTGACCTCAAGTAACTTACAGCCTAGCAGGGCAGACACAGTCACTTACCCCACACGCCCCCAGTAAACAGGGGGTGCAGAGGCACCAGTGGGCCCTAGACTTCATGGAGACCCAGGGGCATGCAGAGCTGGCCTTTGTCCTCACCAGGTAAGGGATAATCCGGTCCCTGCTTGTTCTGATCTGTCATTGCCTCTCCAAGCCAGTTATGGTCAGCCCAACAAGTGGGGGCCCCAGGGTAGAGACAGTCAGTGCTGGGAAGGAGTCGAGCACATCCAAGTAGTCCGGACTTTGTGAGGCCTTCTGCCAGGCCGGGAAGGGCTTTTGGGTCCTGAAACAATGTTGTCTCCCTCTGATTGCTTCCTTCCCCCATCCCACCCCTACCTCAGCGCAGGAGGTGGAGCCAGCGGCCCCAGGGCTGAAATCCAAACCCAGCAATTGTTCCCCATCTTTTGGCTGTTTGACTGTGTGCAAGTGTGTGTTGGCAGGACCCATCGTGTGCCTCCAGGGCAGTTGTGCCAAGCTCAGGCTCTGAATACCATGCTTAGGGTAGCCGAAAATGCTTGCTCAGGGAAAGAGAGAAAGATGGGCCTGGGAGGATACTGACTATGGGCTTTAGGGTGAGTTGAAAGGTGATAAGGGAGGAGGCTTTGCCCTCTGATAGGATGAGTTTGCAGTCATGCAGCTCGTATCCAAAATATCAAGCAGGCATGGCGCCGTGGTTGACACCTGTAATCCCATCACTTTGGGAGGCTGAGGCGGGAGGGTCACCTGAGGTCAGGAGTTCGAGACCAGCCTGGCCAACATGGAGAAACCCTTCTCTACTAAAAATACAAAATTAGCCGGACGTGGTGGCGGGTGCCTGTAATCCCAGCTACTCGGGAGGCTGAGGCAGGAGAATCACTTGAACCCAAGAGGTGGAGGTTGAAGTGAGCTGAGATCATGCCACTGCATTCCAGCCTGGGTAACAGGAGCAAACTCTGTCTCAAAAAAAAAAAAAAGAACAAGGTCTGGTAGAAAGAAAGTGATTTGGCCGGGCGTAGTGGCTCACACCTGTGATCCAAGCACTTTGGAGGCCAAGGTGAGCGGATCATGAGGTCAAGAGATTGAGACCATCCTGGTCAACAAGGTGAAACCTCATCTCTACTAAAAATACATAAATTAGCTGGGCATGGTAATGCGTGCCTGTAGTCCCAGCTACTCGGGAGGCTGAGGCAGGAGAATTGCTTGAACCCAGGAGGGGGAGGTTGCGGTGAGCCGAGATCGCACCATTGCACTCCAGTCTGGGTAACAACAGCAAAACTCCATCTCAAAAAAAAAAATAAATAAATAATTAAAAATAAATAAATAAATAAATAAATAAAATAAAGTGATTTTATTAACCAAAAATAGTAATGGGGAAGTGGCTGGATTCCTATCCAAAGCAAGCACTTTGATTTTGGTGTTGAAGGCAGGGACTTAAAAAGGGAAAACTTGATATGGAAGGCATGCACAAATTGTGCTGAGTACAATGTCCGTGTATCTTGTTCCAGTGGCTAGCTTGGGTCTCAGTACACCTAGATCATGGGCTGGCTTCATCTTAATACTGTCCAGCTTGTTGACTGGCCACCTTGAGACACTCTCCAGAGTTTTGCTGCTGGATCTTCAGGCTTGCTCTGTCTGTCTCAAGAGTAGCCCCTGGATGGGTCATGGTCCAGCCCTTCCAGTAGCTGCTATAGGAGTCATCCCCGGAGGCTTACTTGAAGTTTCTGGGTCAGGTGCCGTGCCAACATGGTGAAACCTTGTCTCTACTAAAAATACAAAAATTGGCCAGGCGCGGTGGCTCACGCCTGTAATCCTAGCACTTCGGGAGGCCGAGGTGGGTGGATCACCTGAGGCCAGGAGTTCAAGACCAGCCTGGCCATCATGGTGAAACCCCATCTTAAAAAAAAAAAACAAAACAAAAATTAGCCGGGTGTGGTGGAACAGGCTGGTAATTCCAGCTCCTCAGGAGGCTGAGGCAGAAGAATTGCTTGAATCCAGGAGGCAGAGGTTGCAGTGAGTTGAGATCGTGCCACTGTATTCCAACCTAGGCGACACAGCAAGACTCTGTCTCAAAACAAAACAAAAACAAAAACAAAAAAAGAAAGTATATTTCAAGGCTATATTTTAAGAATAAGAAGAAGGGGGATAAAAAGGTTTCCACAATAAGCTTCGAGGTTACATTTTGAGACTCGAGAGAAAGGAAAAGAAAGGTTCAAAAATGCATTTTGAAGTTAAACTGCCCAAGTTTAACTTTGAAGTTACACTTTCAAGGCCAACTTTCAGGTCCTGACCTGAGATGGAGGGAGGACTTCCTGATTCAGCAAAGAGATGAGGGATTGGAGAACTACCCAGCCCCAACTGGGTCAGAGTGAAGCAGAGCCTGACAAACAGGTCCCAGTGCAGTCCAGAAAAGAGGGGTAAACTAGTCCTGCACTTTCTGAGTGTTCCCAGTATTCAAATCACAGTCTGAGAGGGGAGGCACAGGCATTAACTGCAGGGTGCCCAAATTCTGAGGTGGGGGAAACAAGCTTTGCTCTCAGGGAGTTCCTGCTTTACAGCTGGGAACGTGAGATCTCAGTAGAAGTCAGAAAACAAGACGTGGTTTCATATAAAGATGTATGGATGGCCAGGCGTGGTGGTTTATGCTTATGATCCCAGAATTTTGGGAGGCCAAGGCAGGCAGATTAATTAAGTCCAGGAGTTCAAGACCAGCCTGGACAACGAAGTGTGACTCCATTTCTACAAAAAATTAAAAAAGCATTGGTGGTATAGTGGTGAACATAGCTGCCTTCCAAAAAAATTTAAAAATTAGGCAGGCATGCTAGAGTCTCAGCTATTTGGGAGGTGAAGGCTAGAGGACCACTTGAGCCTGGGAGTTTGGGAGTTTGAGGCTGCAGTGAGCTATGATCATGCCACTGCACTCCAGCCTGGGCAACAGAGCAAGACTCTGCCTCTTAAATAAATTTTTAAACAACAAAATAAGAACACAACACTAACTCCTAATTTACTTTTCTTTTTTCTTTTTTTTTTTTGAGACGGAGTTTCACTCTTGTTACCCAGGCTGGAGTGCAATGGCATGATCTCGGCTCACTGCAACCTCTGCCTCCTGGGTTCAGGCAATTCTCCTCCCTCAGCCTACTGAGTAGCTGGGATTACAGGCATGCGCCACCGTGCCCAGCTAATTTTTGTATTTTTAGTAGAGGGGGGGTTTCACCATGTTGACCAGGATGGTCTCGATCTCTTGACCTCATCATCCACCCGCCTCGGCCTCCCAAAGTGCTGGGATTACAGGCGTGAGCCACTGCGCCCGGCTACTATTTCCTATCTCTATGAATTTTACTGCTCCAGGTAGCTAAAATAAGTAGAACCATTCAGTTATTTATCTTTTTGTGACTGGCTTATTTCACTTTGTGTGGTAACCTCAAGGTCCATCCATGCTGTAGCCTGTGTCAGAATTCCTTCCTTTTCAAGGCTGAATAATATTTCATTGTATGTCTTTGCTACATTTTGTTTATCCATTAATCTATCGATTAACTTTTGTGTTGCTTTTACCTTTTGGCTATTGTAAAATAATGCTGCTATGAACACAGGTGTATAAGTGTTTGAGTTCCTGCTTTCATTAAGTATCTTTTGAGAGATAAATGGTTTTAATAATATGAAGAATGCAAGTTCCCACCAAGTTTTAAGGTCTTTAAAATTACATTTCTTAGGCTTCCATAAAATTCAACATCTCAAGTTAGGAAAAAGTCATTACATCTAATAAAAGCTTATCCACCAGGTTGGCAGCTGTGGACTTCTATTAATAGACTAAAGAATTAGGAAATGTATGTAACTTAAACCTAGAGAAGTAGATTAAGTTATCACCTCTTGAAGTTTTGAAATCATTGTTATAACAACCATGTATATGTGGTTCAGCATCACAAAATCAGAATCACAACTAGGAATATAGTTAGCCCCATGGCTTCACACTATTAGTAGATGATGTCGCTTGCAACCAAAAAGACTGCATATGGCCTAAGGCCCTTCTAGCTGTCATAATAAACAGGTCAAAGGACTGTGGGGCTGAACCCAGTATGGTTTCAACTCCTCTTTCCCAGTGATTTCCTCCAATACCTGAAGCTCAAATTGCTATCTTTGTCCAAGACCCCTTTCTGCCTATGTAGAGTGTGTCATGCCAACCCTGGACTCCACTCCCAGCACATCTGTCCCAGCAGGGTAAATAGTCCGTATAAAATAAATCATCAGACAGGCCGGGCACTGTGGCTCACGCCTATAATCCCAGCACTTTGGGAGGCTGAGGCGGGTGGATCACAAGGTCAAGAGATCGAGACCATCCTGGTCAACAAGATGAAACCCTGTCTCTAATAAAAATACAAAACTTAGGTAGGCATGGTGGTGCGCGTCTGTAGTCCCAGCTACTCGGGAGGCTGAGGCAGGAGAATTGCTTGAACCCAGAAGGCGGAGGTTGTGGTGAGCCAAGATAGTGCCATTGCACTTCAGTCTGGGTAACAACAGTGAAACTCTGCCTCAAAAAAAAAAAAAAAACAAAAACATCAGAAAGGACTGCCTTGAACCTAGGTGGATTATGCCTTGAGAAATGCTTGACCATGTTTGTGCAGGTGGGCTCTGCATACTTGCAGCCATATGGACATCGACCATATGAAAATTGTCATCAAAATGAAGTGAGCCTAACTTTTCTGGAAATTGCAGCTACTTCTTAAGACCCTGAAAGCTAGAAGGGATCCCTCATTTTTACCACTTTTCTCATGATTCTTTCATAGTGATAGTGAATAATTATGTAATTGTGGCCTAATGAATACTTAGGTATACAAGTGAGTTTGTCCATCCGCAGAAGGGGGAATGATGAAGTAAACCAACCACCCTACAATAAAAATAACTTATCTTTCATATGTTACAAGTTAAAAACTTGTGCTTACTTCGGCAGCACATATACTAAAACTGGAATGATTCAGGGAAGATTACTATGGCCCCTGTGCAAGGATGACACATTGACACAGGAATTCATGAAGCATTCTTTTTTTTTTTTTGAGACGGAGTTTCGCTCTTGTTACCCAGGCTGGAGTGCAATGGCGTGATCTCGGCTCACCGCAACCTCTGCCTCCTGGGTTCAGGCAATTCTCCTGCCTCAGCCTCCTGAGTAGCTGGGACTATAGGCACGCGCCACCACGCCCAGCTAATTTTTTGTATTTTTAGTAGAGAGGGAGTTTCACTATGTTGACCAGGATGGTCTCAATCTCTTGACCTCGTGATCCACCCGTCTTGGCCTCCCAAAGTGCTGGGATTACAGGTGTGAGCCACTGCGCCCGGCTGAAGCATTCTTTATTAAAAATAATAGTGTTGGGAGGCCGAGGCAGGTGGATCACGAGGTCAAGAGATCGAGACCATCCTGGTCAACATGGTGAAACCCCCTCTCTACTAAAAATACAAAAAAATTAGCTGGGCATGGTGGCGCGTGCCTGTAATCCCAGCTACTCAGGAGGCTGAGACAGGAGAATTGCCTGAACCCAGGAGGCAGAGGTTGGGGTGGGCCCAGATCGCGCCATTGCACTCCAGCCTGGGTAACAAGAGCGAAACTACGTCTCAAAAAAAAAAATAAATAAATAATAAGTTATGCACAGTGGCTTATGCCTGTAATCTCAGCACTTTGGGAGGCTGAGATAGGTGGATCCCCTGAGGTCAGGAGTTTGAGACCAGCCTGACCAATATGGTGAAAGTCATCTCTACTAAAATACAAAATTAGCCGGTCCTGGTGACATGCACCCGTAGTCCCAGTTACTTGGGAGGCTGAGGCAGGAGGATTGCTTGAACCCAGGAGGTGGAGGTTGCAATGAGCCGAGATTGTGTCATTGTACTCCAGCCTACGCAACAAGAGTGAAACTCCATCTCAAGTAATAATAACTATAATAATAAGAGTTAAAAATTCTAGAGGACTGTGATTCCCTTTCTTTTCAAAGGTATGTTTATGTTTATTGATACTTCCTCCATTTCAAAATATAAACTTGAATTGCTTTTCAAATCTGCGGTTGAAAGTATAACAGCCTTTGTGAACCCCAAAACAATTTCTGGAAAGGTTGTTATGATATCTGGGAATTATACCTATTTAGAAAACCAAACCAATTTCCTACATGTCTTCCTTCAGACAGATACCTTTTGGTAAACAGCAAAAATCATATTTCAAAGAATCCGAAATGTGTAGTCTCATATCACAACAAATGTCACATTTTGAAAGTACTGTATGGGCAATTTAAGAGGAACCATGTGGAGATGTATAACGATTGGAAGCCTTCATCTTAAGCTGTACCAAAAGCTATATGATTAATGTATTTAGTGTAATTTTTTTAAGTTTAGTGTAATTTTAATAAGTTCATTTTAAAAAAAATGTATGGGATAGAAAGGCATGGATGGGATGAAAAATAAAGATGGCTGACCTATTCCTCTGGGGATCTGGGAAGCTCTGCTGAGGTTTTTGTGTGTGTGCCTTGATGGGGGGTGGGTACTTGATAACAGCTTCACCAACGGGCAGACCCAGCTCCATGCCTAGGCCCAGGGAAATGGGATACCTTGCTGCTCTGAAATGTTGATGAGTTGTGGAGGAGAGAGGGATAGGGGAGCAGATGGAATTCCTGGACAATTGTTCCGGCTGTCACCAGAGAGGATAGGCTGGAGGGAGCCCTGGATAATTTATGGAGGGACAGATGCTTCTCCGGAACCATCTGGCCAAGAGAGGCCTGGGCTCGGGTGGATGTTGTCTTTAGGTCTGAGGAGACTCTTGGCCTCCAGCCTGCCTCATTTCCTCTTCCTGGCCTGCTCGGTGCCCTGGGGCTTTCCTAGGATAGCTATGCTCCCTGAGGACCCAGCTCCAGAATTCCACCTGGTTCTTATCTCACTCTCTCCTCTGCTGAGTCTCGGGCCTGTCTTTGCTACTGTTCCTGATAGGGCTAAGTGGAGCCTTGAGGTCATATAACTTCCGTCTATGCATTTTCTTGTTTTATAGTATTTTCAACACTTCCACCACTATATTCCCAAATCTGTCAATTACTCACCTCCATACTATATATTCATTCTATTGGCAGGGTGCAGTGGCTCACACCTGTAATGCCAGTACTTTGGGAGGCTAGGGGGGCAGATCGCTTGAGGTCAGGAGTTCGAGACCAGCCTAACCAACATGGTAAAATCCACGTCTCTATTAAAAATACAAAAAACTTGCTGGGCACAGTGGCACATGCCTGTAATCCCAGCTACACAGGAAGCTGAGGAAGGTGAATCACTGGAACCTGGGAGGTGGAGGTTGCAGTGAGCTGAGATCACACCACTGCATTCCAGCCTGGGCAACAGAGTGAGACCCTGCCTCAAAAAAATTAATTAATTAATTTAAAAAGCAGAATAAAAAAAAATTGTTGAATACCTAATATGCCAGGCATTGTTTTAGACACTGGAGATGCTGTGATGAGTGAGAAAACATCCCAGACCTCTGAAGTTTGCTTCGTAGTGGGGAGATGGTCAATACAAATAAATATTTAATATAATGTCTGATAATGATAAGTGCTATGAATGAAAACATTAAAGCAGGGTAAAGAAGAATAGGGATGCTGATTTAGATTGAGTGGCCAAGCAAGGCTTCTCCAAAGTGATGACACTTGAGCAAAGATACAAATGAGAGTCAATATCTGGAGGAAGAACATTCTAGGTATGGGAAACAGCAAACTTAGAGACCCTGAGGCAGAAATATGCTTAGTGCATTGGAGGAAAACATGCCATTTATTCATGAGGCATTTATTGTGTGCCAAGCGCCTGCTAGGGAGTATGAAGATGCAATCATACTCGGTTTTTGCACTGAAGAAGCAGCAGGGCAAAATGATATAACATGTAAATAAATAATTACACTGCATGAGACAGCTACAATAAAGCTATATACAAGTTTCTAGTGATGCCCAGCAAAAGGAGCACTGGGCTGGGCATGGTGGCTCACACCTGTAATCCCAGCACTTTAGGAGACTGAGGTGGGAGGATCACAAGGTCAGGAGTTGGAGACCAGCCTGGCCAACATGGTGAAACCCCGTTTCTACTAAAAATACAAAAAATTAGCTGGGCGTGGTGGTGCACGACTGTAGTCCCAGCTACTCGGGAGGCTGAGGCAGGAAAATTGCTTGAACCTGGGAGTCGGAGGTTGCAGTTAGCCGAGATCGTGCCACTGCACTCCAGCCTGGCGACAGAGCGAGACTCCTCCTGAAAAAAAAAAAAAAAAACCACTGAAGGAAAGACTTTCTGGAGGAGGTAACATTTGAGTTGATGGTTTGAAGGAGTAGGAAGAATTGAGGATGCAAGGGAGGAGGAAGGAAGTTAGACGTCTTAAGGCCTGATGTCCGGAAAACAAAGGACAATTTGGAAACCTGAAGTTCCCGGGAGAGGTTAAAAAAAAAAATGAGGCTGTTGAAGGTGGAATTGGCTAGATCCTGCAGATTTCTGGATGCCAAACCCAGTAGCAAGAGTCTCTCTCCCACCGTATCTTTGAGCTGGGTTCCCCTATTCTTTTTTTTTTTCTTTCAGTACTAGAGTCTTTCCCCATTTCCCGCAATTGCTCTGTTCCTGACACGTCCTTCCTTCTCCGGTGGCCAGGCCTCCAATCCCTGCTTTCAGGAGAGCCCCACTTTTCGCCAGCATCTCGTGTCCCAGTTCGCCAACCCGAGGCCCCGCCCCCATGGCACCGCCCCCGATGACGCGAGACGCCAAGTGCGTGGGGATTCCCGCAGCCTTGGCCACTACCCGGCCTGCCCCGCGGCAAGATGGCGGCCTGAACACAGCTGGCAGCGGCGGAAAGTTTGTTGAGGGGTTGGAGTAGTCGGGCGGGGAAGCCAGAGTTGGGAGGATTGCGGGGACCCTAGCCTGTAGTAGGGGCGAAGGGGGGACTGGCTCCCGGGTTGAAAAGAGGTTATGGAATGGAGGAAGGTCCTAGGCGGAGAGGAAAAAAAGGAACTGGGGCGGAGGACAGGGGCCCTAGGGTCTAGTGGCAGCCCTAGCGGGAGAGGGATTTGGGGCGGGGCAGCCACAAGTAGGTGGTGTGCAGGCCCTGGAGACGCAGAGTCACAAGTTGGAGGAGACTTTCTTATCCGCGAATAAAGAAGCCTAGAGCGTGGGACAGAGGCCCGGCTCTATCCGGCCAGTGGGGAAAGGGATCTTTCTACTAGAGTGGGATAGTGAGGAAGAGAGATCTGGAGGATGCCGGGCAGATCTGCTAAGGAGGGAATTAAAGCCAGTCAGATGACGCTCTTCTAGGCTTAGATCAGCCTTTCCACAGCTCCTGTAGCAGCATCTGCCCCAATTTCAGCTGAAGATTCATTCAGGTGCCCCAGGGACTGGAAGAAAGTACAGTGCCTACTTGGAAAGAAGACTTGCCCCAGCCCAACCCCAGAGCGGGTAAGGTGCTTCCAGTGACAGGTTTCTGGCTGGCATGCTCCCTGGGAGGAGGATGCATGGGCTTAGAATGATGCCAAGAATCATTTGGTCTGAGAAGGACTCTCTTCTATAAAGGTTGTCCTTTCTCTGAAGTCCTTAAGTTAGTGTTTGACGTAGATTGTAGGCTGACTTTTGAGAGTTGGTGTAGAATTGAGCCTTGTGCGCCTTCACCATTGCAAGCAAAACAGGCCTAGAGACCAGGCTGAAGGATTTTAATACATCCCTGTCACATGCAGTTTCTTACATGCTCCTTTCTGCTTCAATTTCTCCATCACATCTTCATTTTGGCATCCTGCCTAGAAGTGGAGATTTATGGGTGACAGATGGTGGGGAGTCATGGGAAAACAAATTCTGATCGAGTTCACTGACCATTTAGGTACTTGCTGTCACCAATTCCTAAATTCATTCTCGCTGTGTGTCTACTTTTGCTGTTTCAGTAAGAAGTGCTCATTGGTGTTCCTCTGGGGATGTGGATTGTGGTGGGGGTATCAGAGGTGAGAGAAAGACAGGTTGGGATTAGTGAGAAAAAATATAGGTCAGTTTCTGGTTAGGGGTCAAGCCGACT